AACCGATACTTCGCTTTGACGTCATACTGCAACACGATTGGTCAAGCGAACAATGCCTTCTCCATATTAGGGTTTCTTTGGCGGGAAAACGAGGAGGCCATGTTTTGATCTTTTCATCCATTAGCTGATAAAACAAATAACGAACACTTACAGAAACCAATTTTCAAGGTCATAAAATCGCTCTAACAAACTTTGTAATAACAGTTCACCTCTGCTGACGCATTCCGCAGTCAAACGTGCTAAAAGCATATCCTAAGTGTCTTAACTCTGCCCTAAAAATTGGGTAAAACCGCTGCCCAAGCATAGAAACGATTCATTTGACGTGCGACGCTCGAAAGCCTCTTTGCTTAGGCTCGCAGAAGCTCGCATTTAAAAGGGTAATACGATCAATAAACTGGGATTTGATAAGTTATTTCCAAATACAGTGGAATCTCGTTAATACGGTCACCAATTGGCCAAAAAATTTGGCCGTGTTAACGGGTGACGGTAACAAGGTTTTTTTACAAGAAAATGTAAGGCCGTGTTGCCGGGCGGCCAAAAATCGGTGGCCGTACTAAGGAGTAACCGTATTTCCGAGGTGGCCGTGAGGCAGGGTTTAACTGTAATACATGAAAACGTTTAAAATTTAGAACTCATAACAACCTCAGTATTTTTAAAGTTACAGCTACGTTTTCCCTTCAATTATCATTCGGAAGTTAAAATTTCGGACAAAACAAATTGCAGCAGTGTTTAAACACCAATACGAATTAAAACGTTTGAAGGGAAAAAAGGCTTCACTTTTGTTGGCTCTTCAGTCCTGTTTTCCTTGATTCAGTTCATTTTCTTTTGATTATTACGTCACTATAAATCGTGCCAGTATAGCGCGAAATATCTCTTTTGTCGCTGTTCTTTTTGGGAGACATTGCAGGTAATTTATTTCTTAGTATACTTTAGGGTGCAGTACTCTAAAGTAGCTAAAAGCGATGATATTTAAACAATTTTTTTTCTTTTTTAAGGACAGTCTTGAAGGTTTTTGTCCCAAAGTCTTAGGGAACTTTCCATTTGTCAGAACTAACCGGCCAGACCACTCCCGTCGTAATAAGAACCTCACTTTTAATCAAATCTATCCAGCCAGATCAGTTATAGTATGCACGAAGGAATTGATTTTCGGTAAAACCCTTTGGAAAAGGCCGATTTCATTTGCTCACTGACTGGTCCGGCAATGGTACGGGCGGCCAGTGCTGACAAATGGAAAGCCGCCCTTAGCCTCCAAAAATACACGGCGAATATACCTGGCTGTATCTAGAGGCAGAGAAAAGGCTCAAACTTTCTAAGTTGAGTTTGTAACTATTTCGATTCTAGATCGTATTCTGTCGAATAAGTGTATGTTGTAGTTAGATTTTATCTTTTGTTGTAAATGTATTTCTCTTTTCCTAGGGTATGGTAATGTATAATAATGAGTGAAAAGCAAAGGGAATTACAATTGAAACCAAGGATAAAATTGAAAACCACAACATATGAACTGATTTTTGGTATAATGCGGAGCAAAATTATTTATCTTTAATAACACATTATATCTTATGAAATAGTACACTTGACAAAGTTCAAAGGTTCATGATTATTATTTTGTATTTAATTTTTAACACAGCTAAAATTGTATGTGCACGAAGTGTTCAGTACAAAATGTTTATCTCCTGGAAAAAATTTAACCACAACACTTAGACACTGATTTTTGGCATTATGCGGAGCAAAATTATTTATCTCTAATAAGACATTATATCTTATGAAACAGTTCTCTTGACAAAGTTATAGAGTCATGATTATTATTTTGTATTTACGTTTTAATACAGCTAAATGATCATTGTATGTGCACGAAGTGTTCAGTACAAAATCTGTTCATCTCCTGGGGATATCCTCTATAATTGCCTTTACGGGGACGGTGCGCTCGAAAAATTAAAGTACCTTATTCCAGGTTCAGGTATATTAAAGTGTTCTCTTTTATATTCTTCAACTAGTGAAATGCTTCCTGGCTTAGTAATTATACATAATTAAAATTGAATTTCTCATTTGTTGCCCCTATCCATTTCCTACAGAAGTATTGGGGAGATTTTTGAAAAATTCTCAGACATCGTTAAGTTTGTAATTTTCCAATTAAGCTAAGTGATAAAACTTAAAAATCCTGAGCGCCAATGAATTAAAATAAAAAGACAATCTTTTTTAAAATTCACTTAAGACCTTAACAAAAAACCGCTAAATTTGTAAATTTTGTGTGATCATGTCCGTAATTCTCATGACCACTCTGTTTTTATTACAAAGCATTGATATTTCAAGGAGAAATTTGATGCTGATCACTCATTTGTCAATAAAGGCAGAGCTTTTCTGTCCAGATTGGTATATGAAAGGGTATGGCGTTGAACCCCGGGGCGGAACCTTCCCGTATAAACATTTGTTGAGTACCCCGGGGGGGGGGGGTTCTTAAATCATCTTTCTAACCTGCGAAACAGGTGAGGCTACGCTCCTCGCCCCTACGCAGGGACGTTTCTCGGCAATCTTTCTTACATTATATCAACAGTTGGGACAAAAAGGTGCACTGAGAATTCTGTATTTTTGAAGCATTCCAGCTCCGATAATTTTCAAATCAGTTATGTTTGAGACCCCTGGGATAAGACCACGCATCGCGCGCGTGACATATTCAGGATCGAACAGCCCGGATGGTTTGTGTCTTTGGCTCGTCCTGTTCTAAATACGGGCGACATAACAGCTGTCTGTGCTCGTTCTAGCTGTAGAGGGACGATACTACTGCGAACTGGCAGGGACTTTTATTCCGGGAGTAATAACAATATGGCGTTACTTCCGTGCGTCGAAGAAATAGAACAAAAGTTTGGTCAACTTGAAGGAATTACGTTCAGAGGATTTTTCATCGGCGAACATTACGTCGAACAAACAGATAGTTACCTACAGATGATTGATGTTGAAATCAACAATGGAAAATTTGCGCAGTCAGTTGGCGTGATTTTAGCTGAAACATACCAGCAATATGGAAGATTAGTTTGGACTGGCATTACAGGTCCCGAAACAAGTCATACTTACGAAGGGTATCGTTTCTTTGTAAACGGAATCAAGAACGAGTATGGTGATGACATGCAGTTACAGGAAGGCGTGTTGTATAAGTTCCAAATAGTCAGGGTAAGAATCTATCAAAGGAAGAACATTGCGGAAGGTAGATATTTGTGTGGGGTCAACTTTACTCTTCGAATCGTGAAACGGTATTAGGAACGCCGATTTTAAACGTTCGCCCAGTGACTTTAGGATTTACACCTACAGCTGATCATTGTTGTTGGTCTTGTAGCATGTTGTGTTCAGATGTCAGATCAGATGTTGTGTTATGTGAAACGCCGCGACTTAAAAACATTATCACCTCTCGCCAATCCAACAATAGCATGGAAAACAGTTTTATTGGAAAAACAATGGCTTTTTACTTCGGAGAATAAAGAAAGGTTGCCGTGGAATGTGAGTTCCCGCATAACAGGCGCTTCATGAGTCAAGCGAGGCGAACGCGGCATTTTTTCGCGAAACGCGAGACGAGGGGAGGAGAAAAAGATTCTCCCCTCGTCTCGCGCCTCGCGCGAAATGCCGCGTTCGTCTAACTTGGCTCATAAAGCGCCTGTTATGCAGGCTACAGGAACACAAGTCAAATTACATATAATTACCAGCAGAAGCCTAAAGAAGAATGCAAAACCAATGTCTGCAAGGTCGCCAAACAGTTTCCCTTTTGAACTATCAAATCAACTCAATTTGTATGTAAGGTTAAGAGACAAGTTTTGTTGTCTTTATTCGTGTACTAGGAGTAATCATTGATGAAAGAGGTGTTATTCTGTTTTTTCCACGTTTAAGTTTCTAGTCAAGTTGTATGGTCTTTGATGAAACCCCACTGACAAACTGTGGTATTTTTAAGCCTAGTCACAGTTAAATATGTTCAATTATTTTGTAAAATAAAAAAAACTTCAATTCATTGACATCTTGGTAAATGACCCTCTGTTCTTAGTCCCATGGGTACCTTGTTCTAATACTAATCAGCCTCATCTAAAATTTTGTTGAGTAACCTATAGGGAAGTATGTACTAAGCAGGTGATTTTATAAATTAAACAATGAGCCTCATTTTAAAATGGTGCCAAAATTATTTGTTCCTTCATCTTGAAGGTGAAGGTTCTTTTGAATTCCCCTGATGCAAGTAAGCAAAGAGGGCTAAAAAAAAAGAAAAATCAATGTTGCTGCTATTTTGGGTTGGGGTGAATTAGTATTTATTTTAGAATATTTCTCCTAACTAGCATCTACTGGAATATTTTAAGAATAAAAATGACATATCATACTGTGATGATGATGCTGGTGATTTAGTTCCATGTTCTACATTGCATATGTCATTGTCCTAAAGAGCCCATTCTAGTACCAGGCCTTCTTATCCTGCGTGGCAGACAACGGTTAGTTTGGTGGTTAGTTGTTATAGGTTGTTATAGGTGTGCAAGAAGAACAGGCGAAGGGTGCATGAGTCCTCAAAATTTCTTCCTTCCTTAGCCCCTGCTTCATAGGCTAAGACCTTCGTTGGGTGTTATAGGAGAAGGGATTTTAGAAGAGCTGTCTCCCCTTCTCACTCAATTTCAATTTTTAATATTAAAAATTTCACGTGGTATTAAAGTTTGCCCTAAACGTTATTCTAAGTCTCTTCAACGTCATAAAATGTGCGAGATGTGGTATTTCTCCTTTTGGCGGACGATTTTTTTGCGCGGTTTTTCAGTATTTGCCGAATAACGCAGCAAATCCTTATTCCCCCGAATCCACTTTATTCCGCTCCATTCCTACTATTCTTTAACCCATCCCCAGGTCCTTGTCTGCGTAGGTTCCAGGCACGGGGAGCAGTTTTACAAAATGGCGGCCCTCAGGGAAAGCCATTGATTGTGCGCAATTCCTGTTTTATGCAGCGAATTCTGTAGTTCTCTACCCTTCGGTTTAATAGTCATGGTTAAATGCCGATGGGATCTCATTGTATCAGAGTTACAGCACCAGGAAAGATAATCCTTCATGGAGAACATGCAGTCGTTTATGGAAAGGTGAGAACGTCTGTCAAGACTACTAAGACCAGCACATACATAATTCCTTTTGCAGGGCCGTAGCCAGGAAGAAACTACAACCGAGGCGAACACACGGTCCGTTGTACGAAATCAGCCGTATGAAATCTTCTAATATTATCAGTCTGATAAAAAAAATAAAAATCGACAGTATTTGGTAAAATTTTACCGAGACGAGTGCCTCGGTTCGCCTCATACTGGCTACGGCCCTGTTTTGTAAATATCATCGTGATAAAAACCCTGTTCTGTTTCATTATCCATCACTTTCCTTTGCACAGAAAGCTGTTGCAACTGCCATTGGATTAAGAACTGTAGTGAAGCTTGAATCACAGAGAGATCAACATGTTAGACTCAGTTTGCAGAACTTCAACGTTACTTGCAAATGGAAACAAGATGAGCTTCAGAAAGATGTCAACAGGCTTCTTGGTTAGTCCTTCCCCCTTTTTTATTTTCTTTTTCTTTTTTGTTCTGGTTTAAATACAGAATACCGTTCCACTTTAAAGCAACCCCTAACGAATTGGTGGATACGGAAATACTCAGTCACTGGGTATCCGCTTAGTTATGCACTTTGTCACTACAATCCGCGCATCCACTTAGTAAATATCTTTGAAATAATAGTCACTGCATATCCGTGTATCCACTTCCAGTGTTCTCTCTAAATTTTAGCTCGGCAGGCAAGGGATCATTCATGGCTAGTAAGGCAAAAAATATGTGTCAGAGATGTACTTTCTTGGAGGGGAGAGGGGGTAGTGCCGTGAGGGACATGGCCCCGCCCTTGGGAGCTAAGTTCTCTGAAACATTATTCCCTCATTTTTAGATCTACCATAAAACTCCAAAAATTCCCCCCTACATGTATAAGCCCCTCCAAAAATAAGCACCCCAAACTCCAAAATGCAAAAACACCTCCGTTAAATTACCCCTCCAATAGCACCTGTGGGCTTGTACTTGGAAATTGTCCTCAAATTCAAAAAACAAACAAACAAAACAAAAACAGTGTACAGTAACACGTGAATTTGCCAAAAAACTATTAGTTTATCAGTTTATTACTGTTTGGGTAGTTCACTCTTCACTCTAGGCTAAAGTTTTGTTTTTATAAGATTCATGATCTTTTGGTATGAACAGAGTTCCGTACTTAATCATTGACATTACTTTACCTTTGAACTAAGTTTGCATGGCTCAGTTTTAAAAGGCCTAGGTCCTCACAGTGAGTTCAGTCAGTAAAAACTTCATGCAAATTACTGACAAATTTTCTTCCACCTATAAGCTAGCCTAATCAATTTTGAGATGCAAATTTCCCTCCAAGCATAAGCATAACTGATTTTGGAACAAAAGAAATCTAAGCCGAATCATCCATTGTCATCTTAAGACAACAATTATTAAAAACGTTTGATTCTGTTTTGCCACTCAGTAACTTTCCAGTTTTTAATTTCTGCTATTTTCTTTTTACTGATTGCAATGAGTTGAACTTGCACAAATTGCATAAATTAACCAGCTCTTTTAGTTTTTGAACCTAATTGGTTTATATGGCTACATCTTCTATGGATTAACTTGTATGTTAATGAGCAAAAATGTAAACAATGACATCACATTGAATCTGGCTACACACTTATATGCATATAAAGCTTGTGGTATGTGTATTTGTCGTTCTTAATGCCTTTGAAGGTGAAAAGTGCATAAAAGCAATAATTGCGTATCAGCTCTTTCAGGGTTACAGCTTCAAAGTGACAAGGTTTTCGGAAGTTACTCCTTTTTTGTATGTTTGTTTGTTTGATTTTTAGGGCAATGAAAAGAGCAATGAAAAAGCAGGCTAAAACTTAGCAAGATCACATGTTTTCATCTTGTTCTCTCTGGATATGCTAACCTACCCCATAATTTCACAAATTATTTAGTTTGTGACGTGATCACTCTTCTTGTCAATTGAGCCTAGTTGAAAAATGTCTCACCAGTGTAAAGGGAGTTACATCTTTCCCCTTTTAATAAATTGTTACACAAGATGAATTTTAAAGCATCTGAAATATGAGAAATAGGACTATTGTCACAAGTTATAAAAAATTAGCCCAAATACCAACAAACTTCCCTTGTTTCCCTGTATTTACCCAAAACAGACAGAAGAGTTCAAACTAGAGGCACAACTGTGTGGCTTTCAAATGAGTAAGATTCATGTAGGAAGTAACAGTCTTCAAATGCAATGTATAGTGAAATATTAAAACAACAGTCCATATGAATAAACATTATGCTTGCGTGACTATAATGTATTGAATTGCAGTTTATTCACCTTAGGCAAGTGACCATGTGCTTTGATTTAGTCAGCTGACACTGACCTGTTTTACGCATACTTGCATACTATCTTGTGCATGCACCAGAGGGCAATTTGTGCCAGAATGAAACACCAAGCCCATTTTTGAGCCCAGGCATTTCCTTCAAAAGCCCAAACAAAAAGAAAGACATAAAGGTGATGTTACACAGGAGGATTCGCAACGACGATTTTTAGTGCAACACTGCTTTGCAATATTGGAACCATGCTTAAACCATTCAAAACAATGATGCAACAATGTTGTTTCACTTTGTTGCAGTAAAAATCATTGTTGCTGATCATCTCATGTAACATTACCTTGGTGAAGAAGTTATAGGTTTCCATCTGGGGAGCGGGGCGGAGGGGATTCAGGAATTTTTGGGCAGGGATGTGCCACTGGGACCATGGAACCCTTAGCCTCCTGAGCTAGTTCAGCTGAATTTTACTACCCTATCAGTGTCCAACAGCCCGGGGCAAGTGGATTTTGCGACTGGGCTAGTGAATTCTGTGCTTAACTTGCCCGACGGGCAAGAGAAGATTTTTCGGAGAACTAAAATTACAGAAGTACTGTAAGACAAAATGTTTTAAATTCCTAATAAATTCCTGCGGACCGAAAGTCGCTCCGACGAAGTGAAATCTGCTTAAACAAGAGGAAGTATCGCATAACATGTCAGACGAGACAAATTGAGATCCCGCGCGTAAAGGAAAAGCAGATATTGAAAAAACTTTGGAGGTAAATGTTGCCTGTGTCTAATTCTTACTGATTCAGAGAAAGCTGTTTGTCTAAATTTTGCTTCATAATTATTTGTGAGGAACCTAAAGGTTTTGATCCTGAACTCCTGTGAGGAATTTATCATGGTTTTAGCAAATATTGGTCACGTGCATTTCAGTATGGTAAATTCTAGACACTGGTACTGTAGGTGTTTGTTGATTAAAATGTATAGATGAAAAGTTGCCAGAAATAAAACAAACGTTTTTGTTCTTTTGAAACCTAAAACCTTTGGTTAGTTGTAACAAGACGAACCACAAATTTGCATAATTTTTGTTTGCCTGACATTTGCTCACTGATGCGTGACTTGGCTCTCGCACTTTTCACTTTCCCGTGAACTTGAACCTTGACTTGGAAAACCGACTCCTAAACAAACCTTCTTCAGAAAAATGATCTGCAGAATGCATTACTTTTGAATGAGAAGCAAACTGATGAAAGTTATCAAATTTTTATGCGCTTTAATAATATAAACATCTCCCCTGTCAGCGGCTAAGAAATACTCCTGCGGGAAATTGCGCGGCAAATTGCAGAATGAAGCGCTTTCACTGGCAGCTTTTCGCGTTGTCTACGTTGTCTTTTAGTGTGTCCATTGAGAACTTTGGTTTCACGGTCTCAACACCGTTTTTTTTTTTAAAAAAATGTTTTTCTAAATTGTAAAATGTCTAAAATGCATGTTAATCATTCACGTGTTGTGGTGGACTTAGAAAAAATTCTACAGTGTGTCAGCGCCGAGAGCAAAACAGCAAAAAATCAAACTAGTTCAAGACATCGGGAGTGAATATTGCGTTGAACTCAAAGCGTTACAGAAGATTGAGTATTTGAACATTTTCACAAGAGGTTAACCAGTAATATGTAGTTTTTAGCATTGTGTTCAAAGACAAACATTTGTCTGTTATTCCGACCTTCATTCTGTTAGCTTCACTTAAATTGCTTATTTCATCATTGTGAGTTGACTTTCAAGACAAAGGCATTTATAATCGAAAGGTGAACACTGAATTATTGTACTAGTGTGTCAAGAGTATCTTACCAGGTCTACTTATAGTTCACACTTTTACGGTTATTTATTGCTTTTGTTAAATAACTACAGCTGATTGTAATGAATAAATGAAGCCAGTAATTTATTAACTTACAGTGTAATTAAGAAAGCAATAATTAATTAATAATTTTTCACTCTGCTCGCGGAAAAAATTTTTCGGAGTAGTAAAAATGACTTTCGAGCTAGTAGATGTTAGTTACAGCTTGCCCAAAGGGCAAGCTGTAAAATTGACTTTCTTTGCACCCTGCCTATAATGGAGATACCTCCCCAAATGCCCCCTATCCTATGGTAGCTGTTTTCCAGAAACTACTGAGGTCACTAAGCACCATCCAGCCAGAACAAAATCTTCAACCAATTGACCACTCCACCCGTGGGAGTTAAAATGGCCCCAAGAGAAACTGAAAACAATGCTCATGCAAAATTTTGGGGTGACAAACAAAGAACATTATGTTATGTTATGTTTTTGATTGGTCAATTAATCACTAGACCTTAACTTAGCTTTATTATTCCATCGTTCATGTAGGTACTGACTCAGTAAAGCCAAAGCCCAGGGCTTATACGGCCTGTGGTCAGAATGACAGAAATTATTTTATATAGAAAAGGAGACTGTAGGATAAATTGAGAAACGAAGATTAAGTAAGCTTACATGCATGCAGTCCTTATAAGACTGATGACAAATAAACTAACAATGAACCTATGAGAATCTGGCGCTAATTCAATTCAGGCTGAAAAAGTAAAGTCTTAAATTCTTTTTAAAGTTAGTGGTAGTGACACTGTTAAGGACAGTCAAGGGGATATCATTCCAAATAATCGGGGCTTGACAACTAATAACAAATTGATACCTGAGGGACATTTTTATGCAAGTTAAAACAGGAATGAGTTAGATAATCATGAAAATTAATATTAAAGACCCAAATTCCGTCTATTTGTATACCTTATCCCAGGGTAAACTGCTTTAAAACCTTACCCTTTACAGTGGCACATACCCAAATAGACCAAATGTGTCAGTACCCCCAGGGTTTCCACTTATATATTGACTATCTATTACTGTTTCAGCTTTTTCAGGTTGTTCTCGTGAGGCAACAGAGTTGTTCAACAAATTTGTAGAACACTGTCAACAAATGGAAGAAACTAAGAAGCTTATGATAAATGCAATCAGGGTTTTTGTTTTCCTAGTTGGAAAGATTGTGAAAGACGTTAACGGGTGAGTGGCGCAGGGGGTACTCCTTACAATGACTGAGGCTCCACCTGAAAGGGTTGCCTTTTTAAGGGTTCAGGTATATGAAAGGGTAGGCAGGGCTGTCGTTAAAATAGACAGGAGAAGTCATTATGTCATGTTGCCATGGTAGCAAAATTTTTGGATGAAACAAACCAGTTAAGTCACTTTAAAGTCTATTCGCACTATTTCAAACTTTACCGATTAGATCTTCGGGAAACTTTCTTTGGGACCTTATATATTGTTATCTCAGTTTAGAAAAAGAATACAACAATTTTTTTTGTTGTGTTCTCCTACTCCATAAAGCAGGCTTGTGAAATTAGGAAGTTTCATGTCGTAGTGGTGAAACAATGACAAAGAAATGTACAAAATAGCATCTTGTTGTTTGTGAATATAAACATATTATTTTTTGTGCCATTCTCCTTGCTGTCACAGTCGTCGTTGGTTTTGTTGTCATCCAGAAATAGTGTCACCATGGTAACATGACGTCACACTTCTCCTCTCTATTGTATAGCTAGGAAATTCTGTTGGTTTTATTCTCCTCTTGTGTCCTATAAGAGTAGCCAAGGCTCACACTCATAGTAGCTGGGGAAAATCGCCGACCCCCAGCTCTTAGTGACAGCCCTGGGTAGGGATTCTTGAATTATATGAAAGGGTAGGGAAATCTGTCATTTGGCTCTGTAAAAAGGCTAAAAAGGGCTATGATCCCTGTCAAATGCATTTTATGGCTGTGAAAAAGTTTTGTGATTCATTCAAACAGTTGACTGCTGATAACTCAAGCCCTCGTTAACTCGAACCGAAGTCGATTTCCCCTTTATTTCCTTCATACATTAACCCTTTAAACCCCAATATCCACGTACAAATTCTCCAAACTGCTCTCTATACGTTTCCTTCAAGAAGAAGTTGAGAGAATTTGATAAAAGATCAAGGCATTTTTCCTTAGGTGATCATTTTATTAATTCTCATTACCTAATCTCATGACATTGTATGGATATCATTAGGAGAAAATTGACGTTAGTGACTATTGGGACTTAAAGGGTTAACTGTAATACCCTTGGTAACTCAAACCCACAAAAACTCAAACCTTCTGCTAACTCAAAGTGATTTTTGTTTCCCTTCAGATCAATGCTAAATAATTTTACCCTCAATAACTCGAACAATGTCATGAGTTCATGACAAGTTGGGAAAAAACCGTGTACCGAGTTCAGAAACATTGAATTTATTTCAAAACAACTGTTTCAGTTCTTTGTCTTTTCTTTTTTGTGACTCCAGTTTAAATTCAGTATCAATCCCAGTATACTTAATTGTTGCTTAATTGCATTCCCTCCCCATTATTTTCGTCAAACTCCCCATACAGGTAACTCAATTTTTTTTCGATTTCCTTAGAAGGTTCGAGTTAAATCAGGAATCGACTGTATCTATAAAAACAGTGCATTTATGGGAGTTAAAATAAATGATAAGTTCAGAATTAGACTACAGGCTGTAGGTATGTGAAAGGGTACCATTTGTCACTAGGATGTATATGAAACATGAGTACCCTCTCTGTCAGAATGGTATAATAAAAAGGGTAAGGGGTTGGACCTTGGAAAGAGCCTCCCCGTATTAATTATTTTATGTACATGTTCTTATGGGGAGTGTATGGAAGGGAGGCTTGTCTACATTAGTGGTACCTGTGCAGTGCATATGAAAATGCTATAGTAGACCATTTTGCAGTTGTGGACTAAGTACCCTAGCGTTCTAGTGAATGTGAGGCTGAGGTTGACCTTGTTCTGATACAAACCTCCTTTGCTTTGTTATGAAAATACTAGTTAGCATAAGAATAACTTGATTTACAAAATAAAGCAGGAAGGTTTGTATCAAAACAATGTCACCTCCAGCCTCGCTTCCATCCATAACTGTAAAATGGCCTATTCCCTCTGTATTTAACAGAACATAACAACTTTATTTAAATGTTGATGTCTTTTGCTTTAAAAGTTAATTGGGGAAGCTAAAATATTAGGAAAAAATTATAAAATGAGTTTATACATGATATCAACAGGTAAATTTATAATAATATTCTCTAAAATCTCAAATTCAAAAGTTAAAATTTAAAAGTTTAAAGATTCTGGAGTCATCCCCACTAAAATATACAGAAAATACTAAAAATATTTCTTAAAATTCTCAAGAACTACAAGGGCTGATCTAGGATTTTTCTTAGGAGGGGGGTGCAGCACTAAGTAATAAAAAATGTAACTGACTGATGACATAAACAAATTTTAGTACAGAATACCAGTTGTATTACAAACCTGCACATCATCTCAGGGGGTGGGAGGGAGCTGCACACCCCCTGCACCCTCCCCCTAGATCCACCCCTGTTTAATGTTGTTAGGTAGAAATGGCAAGCTGCAAACCATGTCCTGTAGTCTCAGTTCAGGGCTCGAAATTAAAAAAGTCCTCAGGTCGCCATTTGGCAACCAACCGTAGAAATATAGTCACCAGATGCAAAATTTATGGTCGCCAGTTTGTATAATATAAATGACGCAGCTCATAATCAAGTATGGCTCAATCCATCACATTGAAAGCAAAGCAAGATAAGATGAATAATGTTTGTTTATTTTAAGGAGGCAGCGTGGCCAAGTGGTTAGAGTGCTGGCCTTGGAATTCGAAGGCCCCGAGTTCAAGTCCGGCTCTGACCACTACCTGGATTTGCTAACAGTAGTCCCGAGTTCAAATCCTCGGCCATGCTTGTAAATAGCCAGCTGGTTTGCCTCCGGCCAGTTGGGATTCTTAACCCTGTTAAGTTCAATTTGAATTACTTGTCTCAGGCATTTACTTGGCCCCACTAGCATTGGTGCTATAAAATACTGCCGAGGGTGAATAACGGAATTATTTAACTTCACTCTTTTAATTTAAATCTAAATCATTGAGAAACCGGGTTATGAAAGGGGTGACTGAACCAGAATTTTTAGTCGCCAAGGAGACAATGTTAGTCACACTTGGGACCATATCGGTCACAATTTCGCGCCCTGGACATACATATATACTTCACTCACTTATTGAGGCCAATCTCCTGACCAAGCCTCCATGACAAAATCTTTCCACACTTTTCTGTCTGGCATTGCACTTTGTCAGTTAAGCTTGAAAAGGGAGTTTTGATCCACACGAGTTTATTGAAAATTTTAAGTACTAAATGTGTAATCTGAATTCCAAAAAACTTCACTTGCCTATCGGGCAAGTTAAAAACAGAATTAGCGATCGAACATGACTTTCTCTAAATGCCATTGTATGATCATAAATTATTTGATTTAGTGCCATTCCTCTTTTATTGACAGACTGGGTTCCTTCTCAGTTGAAATTAACTCATCAATTCCTATTGGTTCTGGTCTTGGTTCTTCGGCATCTTACAGTGTCTGCCTTGTCACAGCCCTCCTAGCAGCCATGGAAGCAATTCCTTCAGTTCAGGAAACAACTACTGCTACCTTATCCATTGCCAAGGGTGAGGGAACTATTTCTCTGCCTCATCAAGATCTTGCATTAATCTGTCACTGGAGCTTAGAAGCTGAAAAGCTAGTTCATGGGAACCCATCAGGAGTAGACAATTCTATTTGCACATATGGTATGTGGAAATTACTTCTTCTTTAACCGCGGCAGGATTAGCTCAGTTGGTAGAGCACTTGACTTCAGAGCGGGAGGTCGTGGGTTCAATTCCTGGGACCAGACCAACACTCAGGGTCTTAAAATGACTGAGAAAGGAGGTACTGCCTTTGCCCTGCAAATGGCTAGACCTTCGCGTGGCTCAGATGACCATGTAAAATGGCGGTCCGAGAGACATAAAAGTATAGTGCCCCCAGTTAGTGCTTTCGTGCTAAATACATTGACACTAAAATAAAGTGCTTATTTTTTCTAATAACATAAGGGCACAGTCAATTGATCCTTTTCTGGAAAATAGAGTACAGGTACTCTGAAAATCTAAAAGTTTTCCTTTTTTATATGCCAGTATTCTGGTGTGTTTTAATACAGTCATTTAATAGTTACCTGTATGTTCTTGCATGCTTTCTCTTACAGGAGGGGCTCTAACATTCGAAGATGGTACTTTAAACTGTTTGACAAGGTAACTTAAATGGTTGTACACAGTGAACTTAATGCCCCTTCCAGGGATGTCACTATAGATTTCAAGCTGCCTGATACAACAAGTAGACAGGAAATCAAACAGCTCAGGATTTCTTTTGGTTCTATTTTTCTTCTGTCTTCCAATAAATTTTAGTATTAAAGTTCTTTGGGGCCAAACTACTTTCATAATATCCGGGGGAAGTACCCTGCCCTTCAGTCCTGTACTATTGTTTACATTTTTTGTTTGCTATTATTCCTGTAATAGTGGGCATCAGTCAACAAAACACTTGGGTAAACCATTCAGAGGATAGTGGCAACAGTCAAGTCAAATTTCCCTTAGAGTAAGGAATAATCAATGGGTTTATACGTTCTTGAAGCCTGTTAAATGTACTCCTCTGTTTATGTCTTGTTGTCTTGGCAACAACAAGGTATAAGTAGCTATAAGAGCAAAATTATGATAATTTTGTTGTCAATCTGGGATTTGTTGAATATGATCTAACTGTGAGCTTCATACTCTTTGCCATAGATTACCTCAACTAAAGATTCTCATAACTAATACTAAGGTTGCTCGCAGTACAAAGGACTTGGTGTCCGGTCTCAGAGAAAGATATCAGCAGGTATTTTGTTTGGAAGTACGGTATACATGTACATGTAGTTTAGTAGGTGAAAAGAGGGAATTATACCATGATTAATCATAACTACAACAAAATTCTCAAACTGATTGGCTATCATCTGTCCTGATTTCAGCACTAAAAGGACAGTGTAATAGGACAGCATGTGTCATGCTTCTGTGTAATTGGACAGTATGCACCATCATGCATACTTAAATGGCTTTTTTTCTTTCACTGCTAGCAAGAAAACTTTTGGAATTTTTTGTATTTTTTGTTTTCAAGAGGGCTAAAACATCACAAATTTTCTCATAGTAAGTTATGATTAATTATTGGTAACAGGACTCTGTTTCACAAGTAGGCAAGTTTGCTCCTGATAAAAAAAATTGTTGAAGACAACATTTGATGGAAGTCAAACTTCATTCATTATAACTCGACTTCATGAAACATTAGGGCCATTTATACGAGGAAAAATAAGACACGCCTTACATAAGACGCGTCTTAAAAAAAACGCGAACTTTACGTATAAACGGATTAGATTAGACATGCTCGTATAAATGGTACAGTTCGCGTCTTATTTAAGACGCATCTTATGTAAGACGCGTCTTATTTTTCCTCGTATAAATGGCCCTATTGTGCAACATTGTGTAACATGGTGTCCAAAAATATGGAATATGTTGGTCCAATGATGTTGAACACCGTTGCATCACTTGTTCAGCCGGGTTTAAGGTTAAAGGTTTGTTTATAGTGGAAGTGCACCTATCCAGCTAGTTTACAGGCACTCCACTCAAATAACTAGAAACAAACAATGAATTAGTTAAATTGAATAAATAATAATGTATTTGAAAAACCCCAACTGGCAGGAGGCAAACAGTTGGCTATTACAAGAGTGGCCAATGATTTGAACTTGTAGCTTGCGTAGCTGGTGGTCTTTGTTCCACACGTGTAAAAATAAAAAATGTGAAGCCACCAGAAAAATACAGTATGTAAAACCATTGTTTTCTCATTGTTCCCGCCTCAATCTCTTTGCGGCTTCATGACTCACTTACTCATTTGCATGTTCGTCAAACAAACCCATCAGCAACACAGGCTATATTGAACAAGTCCAGGTTTTGGTTAGAGCAGGACTTGAAACCAGGACCGCTAGAATGTGAGTCTGATGCGCTGAACACCCGGCAATGTTGTCTCCTCTAGTATAGGTAATATCCTCTACATGTGTTGTGTTTTACTTCTCTCTCTCTCTCTCTCTCTCTTTTTATCAGCTTCCAACTGTGTATAGTCCCTTGTTTGATGCCATTGGTGCTATTGCAGATGAGTGCTGTGTTTGTCTAGAGAAGCTCTATCATGCTCAAGGTATGGTGGGGGGGGGTGGGGTACTCCCTTATATAAACCATATACTAAGCTATGTGCCGCCCTAACGGGTATGGTTTTTGCGCCTTTTTCGTCGAAAAATGGGTGTAGATTTTGTCCATTTTGGTCTGGAATCGGGTATGGTTTTTGAGGGAACTACAGGAGTGTATGAACGTATTATTTTATCGTTTAAATTCCAAATGAGTAAGAAAGAAAAAGAAATGTGCGAATTCCAAATGGATTTGAAGAATTTTTTTTGTTTGCGGTCTAATCTTAGCAATGATAACATAATTTCTGCCTAAAGGCCGAGTCTGAAAACGGGTATGGTTCTTAGGGGTCTGGTCTAAAAACAGATGTGGAAAATGACATTTTTTGGTCTGAAATAGGGACAAGATTTGGGGAACCGGGCAGCACACCCCAGCCAAGAATTCGCAGGAGTACCCCCGTGGTACAGTGCAAGTGACTACAATGCAGATGTAGAATTTAGAGTTTAAAACCTACAAATTTCCAGATGCACGGCTATTTTTGTAATGCTCTTCTATACGGTAAAAGAATTGTAACCTATAATTTTGGCATGCGAAAAATCGGTAATGGGTTCATGATAACCGTCACGAATATAGAGGCATTAAGTGACCACTAAGCCCACTATGAGAATGTTGATGTAATTGCTGTAGTTACTGTAGTTGGTGTAGTAGCTGTAGTTGGTGTAG